CTTTGGGTATTGGCCGATACCGAGAACCGATCCTCTACCAGTGTTTCATTAATATCTAGTCTATAATGTTTATAGTGTATAAGCACAGAACTGAACTAAATAGATCGGCCCCATTGTCACCAATACCCAATCCTGCTATTTGAGTCAGTATCGGCTGATATCTGATCCTGTATCGTATCGGTTTTTCTTTAGTAATGTGCCACAAAGAGGTGGGAAGAAGGTATGAAAGACAGGAATGTGCCTAATAGCCCTTTCATACAGTCTATACAACGTAGGTCTACTGATCATATATTTAGATAGTTCTTCAATACAGATATGCCCTTTCACTAGAGATGCTAGATCTTTCTTTCTGAGAATTACAATTGACAGCATGCACACAACACTGACTATTAAATAACTTACATTTTCCCCAAAACTGCACCAAGTCACAGGAACTTCTCTCACTGTTACTCAAACAAATCTCCAACTAAAAGTGCTCAAGGTTACTGGACAAATAAAATTCAACTGAAAATGAATTGCAGTATATCCCACTTCATCATTTACTTACCCAGAAGAAAACAGGTGCAACATGTCTGTACAACAACACACCTAAATGGAATGTATATCAAAATGATGTGTGTGTTTGTGTCGCTGTAATGTGTGCTGCAGCTGCTGGGGAGATCGGTTTGGCAATGCATGACTAGTATGTGAGCATCGTGCCTGTTTGTGGCTGTAACGTTACACATCTGGCTGGAGGAGACCGCCATGGCGCTAAAGAATGCTACCAATGCCCCACGTGCTGTTGGATGTATTATGGGACATTTCAAACAACTATCACAATTTTTTAAAGTATAGCCAGTTAGCTGTACTCACCCGTCTCTTAAGTGGTTACAGGCTGACGTAACAGATATTTATACGGACTCAATGTGGACAGAGAGCGTGCGATGTTACACGATGCATAGTTGTGCTGCGTGCTTGCTGTCAGGACACGGTGTTACTGTCTTTAAGAATGAGACTTGTCGTGGCCGATTGATCGGCGCATCCCTACTGTTCACAAAAGCAGAGCAGTGTCCAGTCCAGAGGTCTTAATGCCAGGCCAGAGGATTTGTCAGCGCTCAATCATCAAACTTATTGAGCCGTAATGCAAGTTTGCCCAGATGAAGGTCTCGGCTTTATTATATATTCTCGCATTGGATTTAAGTGTGCAGAGTCTTCTATTCTCCATATCGGAGTCTTCGGGCCATTCTTTCACGCAAGCATTGTTCCCCGAGTGCATTGATCTTCTCAAAAGTATGAGAGAAAGTGCCCAATTTTAATTTAGAAACGCCTTTTACTTAATCCAGGCAAAGCTTCGCCGCCTTTGAAGAGGCTCTTTTACTTCCTTTTAAGGTCGACACCAGGGACATTATGTAATGCAACTTAGCATTGTATTGTAAGTACGATGAAAAAGGAATTAAAAGACAACGGTGCACATTTTAATTTCAACATTTTTTTTTTCATTATCCAGTGACTGCCTCAGCTGCTGAGACCCTTTTAGTTCTATTTACGCTCCGCATCATTTTGAAATGTTTACAATGTAAACATGCGACGTTTGCTTGTATCTGTGTTTTGACATGCATGTTGCCACCACCTGTCAACCTGCTTTTGTTGTGTCACTTATACTTTTAGTAGCCATGCGGGGGTGTTTGTGTTTATCTAACCTGGAACATGTTCACACCTACCAGGTAATGGAGTGGACACCACAACAGCTCTGTCCCTATCTGTGTAGGATGTCCTACTTCTGTCCTCTATCCATCTTGTGTGTTTCTCTCTTTCTCTCTCTCTCTTTCTCTCTCACACATTAGGAAGACATGTTACACGGCTCAGAGACGTTTCATTGCTGCTATTCTGTCTCAGCTGCCAAATACCTTGTCACCATAAAACAATGACTTATGATTAATGGCAAACACGTCTCCCACTCGATGATGTATAGCTATTAATTGACACTAACTGCCCATGTGTGACCGCGCATAAACTCGCATGCATCTACAGGCGCGCACACACACACACACACCCTCGCCGGTCCTGGTAAACATGTCGGAGCATACAGTATTTACAAAGGGACTGAAGTGGGTTTGGGGCAGCAATGTTTCAGGAGAATGGCCTCAGGGTCTGACAGGATGTTGGGGGATGTGTCATTTTTCCCTGACTCCCTTGGTGACGAGCAGAGACATAAAGAAATCCTTTTACACACAGGGAGATGTACACAGACCGGCAAACACACACTCAGCCATTCACTCTTATGTATAGCCTACACACATCAGTGTTATACAGCCATAAAAATGGTTGTTTGGCAGAGTAGATGAGCTCAGAGGAAGTATCTTTTTTTTCTTCTTTTTTACCCCCCTTCTTCTCTGTTTTGGACTCGAGCTGCAGCATGCTAATGCAGACTACATCAAACACTCGCTGGAGCCCTACATCTCGCCGTTTCACTCGGCACCAAAAGCAGAACAAGAACTTGTCTGTCGCTGCTCTTAATTCATTGTCTCCCTGGGGCAAAACGAGC